ATTCCCGGAAGTGTTTTTGCCACTATGAGCACTTTGGACCTGACACTCACTCCGGTAACATGGCATGTTCGCTCGCTTTTAGACGAGTGCCCAATTAGCCGGAGAGTTCATATCTGTCCCCCTGGGGAATGACGAGGTGGAAATAACGTCCCTCAGTGAAATCCTGAAGGCAAGACAGCAAGATGTTCGTATCACCTTTGCTATCAAATTAGGGCAAGGTCTTATTTCGTGGCCGTAACTGTTAGGGATTAGGGTTAGGCTTAGGGGTAAAGGGTAGGGGTTAGGGTTGAGGGTTAGGCCTAGGGGTCAGGGGTTAGGGTGAGGAATGTAGGTTAGGGGTTTGGGTTAGATTTTCGGGTTTAGGATTAAACCACTTATTTGCTGGGACTCTACGAAATAAGATCCGATCCAAATTAGACATCGCGCGACGATTGTCTTGACTCCCCCCCGGTGATCAGTTGCCGTCTCATGATGCTGCACCTGCCACACTAAGATGGTAAATCTGTTATTACTTTTATTGTCTACAACTTCCAGTGACAGGCCATGATGATGCGAAGCATTCGTCCTAAGAATATTTTCTCGCTCTCCTAGACGCCATACCGAAGGCAAACAAATTGATTGCCTTCTTTTGGCTACAGTTCCACCGTACGCACAAATCACTACCTATGAGCGAACGCTAGGTTACCAAGGCGTGGACGACGACTGAAAGAACAACGGGCTCCTCTATGACCAGCCTGCACTAAACCCAGCTTTCCCATCATCAACACATTCTTCCGGCCGTACATTATGGATATCGTCGTTTCTACAGGCGTCAGTCGTTCAAACCTTCTTTATGGATATCTCCGAGAACTTTCGCCAGCTGAGCCTCGATCTTCTTTGTCCGGTCCTCGGCTTTCTTGGATTTCGAGAACCTGGTATGATCTGGCAAGATTCCCTCCACATTCACCATGTAATCCGTCCCATCCATCAGCACTATTCCCGATGCCCTGGTTAGTACGACATTTTTACTTTTGCATGGCTCTTTGAGACTATCCAAATGGGCCCTTGTCAAGGAACCTCTGTTTCCTAACAGTAAGCCAGAGTCCACTTAAGATAATCGACATATTTGTGATCTTTGAGGACTTTCGTCAGCTGACCCTCGCCGTTCCCTCTTAGACCCTTGTATTCTTAAGAAAATTAGAACCTCTAGGCTCTGTAGGTTTAAGATGGGCGGTCTAACTAAAATGACCCGCGAATTAGATTTATATTTCTAATTATTTCCGCATGTGAGCTTATTGTACTTCTATGATTTGCAGTTACACAAGTGGGAGCGAAAGAGAAGGGGAAGTAGAAGTTGAAGGAGGAGGGGGAGGGGGAAGATGGCGTGAAGGAGGAGGAGGAGGACGAAGACGACGACGACGACAACGACAACGACGACGACGACGACGACGACAACGAGGGGGAGGAGGAGGTGGAGAAGAAGAAGAAGAAGAAGAAGAAGAAGAAGAAGAAGAAGAAGAAGAAGAAGAATGAGGGGGGAATATAGCTAACTGCTGACTATTTAGCTAGTCTACGTGTGGCGGACTGTGGGAAGGTTAGCTGCCACGCGACAGTTGTAACGTCGTCTCCGACGATGACCACCGAGTGCCTTACAGCAGGGTGAGCAGAAAGGTGTTGACTTGCCCATCAATTAAGTCATAGGGACAGTAGACTTGCACTGTATCTATCACATTCTCTCCTCATTCATATATTTGGGCCCGTTGTCAAGAACAAGTCTGGAAGACGGGACGCAAGGCAGGACGCAAATGACTAGCGCAGCTTGAGCCTGCGCCTGGCGTGCTACCATACCTTCTCGTGTATGGTGTTTGCTAGGAGTACGCTGTCCAGTAACGCGCGACAGACCTTGATCTGGCCTCCATGGCTCATTTTAGGGACGCATCCAGTGGGAGACACAGATCTGTATCGGCCCATTAACAGTCGTGCATAATCTAAAACAGCATTGAATGGAGTGTTGGAGTCTGACGGACCGCCTATTACTAGACACGTGTACCAAAGTAGGATGCAGACAAGGTGCTTCCGTCTTACTGGCCGATTGAGATGGCTCGACCAGGTTCTGCACCAACCTGACAGTGAAGATGCCCGAGATGTCATCTATTCCCAACCCAAAACCCAGTGACAACGACGCCGAGGTGACTGACTAATGAATGAATGCGGTCTGTTCTCTCTGACTTTGAGTTCTTTGGTCTGTAGGTTTGGAAGTTGACGTAGCCCTGTTTGTGAGTTTGTAGTCAACCGACTGCGATGATACTTTTTGGGCCAGCAAAATGGATTTGGTCGTGTGAGTCACGTTGGGTTTCGGCCCAAGTGGACGTAAAGGTAAACAAGGACTGTATTTGTGCTCCGACGGTTCGGATAACGAATTCAGCTACTCGTTTGCGGATAGGGAGAAAGCCTGTGCAAGGCCGACGTGATAATTTCCACCGTCACCGTCTGGCCTGACGCATGGAGCGTCAACTCAGGCCATGTTTGTCATCCGGTCGCCCTGTGGTGATAATTGGCGGAC